CCCCGCGGTGCCTCCCGACCGCTCCCTCCGTCGCGAGCCTCCCGCCCCGGCTCGTGCGGCGGCGGCCCCCCGCGGCGCGACGTGCGGGCCTCCCCCCGAGGGCCGCACCTCGACGCGCACGGGCACCTCGGCCGTGGCTCTTGCAGGGGGCCGCGTGCGAACCCCCCCCTCCCCCCCCTCAGAAACCGTGCGGGGTAGGGGTAGGGTTCGCAGGTGGCCCCCTAACCTCGACGCGAACGGGCACCTCGGCCGTGGCTCTTGCAGGGGGCCCACGTGCGAACCCTACCCCTGCCCCCCACGATTCCTGAGGGGGAGGGTGGGGTTCACTTCGCTCGGCACGAGAACTGCCAGGGGAACGGCCGAGGAACGGCGTCCAGGAGGGGGTCGTCCAAGAGGGGGGGTCGCAGATCACGATCCGAGGCCTGCGATTGGACGGGGGGGGGGCCAAGGGGGCGCACTGGAAGAAGAAGAGGGGGCCATGGAATCCGGGGTGGCCCGGTTCGACCCCTTGGACCCCCCCGCCTGGTTCGAGTCCCCCCCGCTTGCCCTTGCTCAATTCCCTGAGCCTCGTTCATCAATCCAACCAGCAGAAACAACTGGTAAATCAAATAATGTTGCCTCTGTGGGTCCTCTAGGGTGGGGTCTGGGAACCCTCTTGGAGCGTCCCAGGGGCGTTTTGGGCCGTCGGGAAAGCTGCGTGGAGCGCCTGGGGAGCGTAGTGGGGCGCCTGGAGGCGACCAGTGAGGCGTCTGGAAGCGATGTTGCGGCGACTCGGGGTCGAGTCAGGGGCTGTCCGGGCGGGTCTGGGGCACCTCTAGAGCTCCCGGTTCTGCCATGCGCTGTCGAACCCCAGGCCCCTGGTACACACGCCTCGCAGACGGTGTATGTATACACATGCAGGCATACCCATACATATATATATATATATATGTATATATATATGTGTATATTTATGTATATATATATATATATATATATATATATATATATGTATATGTATTCACATCCATACATGCATACATACATGCATGCACACATGCAGACATGCATACGTATATACATGCATACATGTATACATGCACACATACATGCATACATGAATACATTTAGACATAAGCCATACGTACATACATACAACTGTACATACATATGCATACACATGCATACACACTTACACTTACATAATGCAACACGCACACATACATACGTACACACATGCACGCATGAACATGTACATGCATACATACACATAGACACACAAGCGCGCACACCGACATACAACCATAAATACATGCATTCATGCATACATATAGATACGTACAAACTTGCATGCATGTATGTATACATACATACACACGTACATACATACACACACCTCCACACATGCTTACATACATGCATACACACATACATACATGCATGCACACATACATACATACATACATGCATACCTACACACATGCATACATACATACATGCATGCATGCATGCATACATACATACATGAATGCATACATACATATATGCATAGACACATACATAATGCAATCGTACATACTTACAAACACACATACATAGTAACAAACGAACAAACATGCATACGTACATACATACATACGTACATACATACATACACACATGCATACATACGTTCACACGTCCATCAACCCATACATACACACATATGCATACGTGTGTAATATATATTTATATATATGCGTATACACATGTATGTGGGTATGTAGTATGTATGAACACATATATAACTATATAAAATGTATGTGTACAGATGTATGTGTGAATGTGCCTCTGGGCGGGTGGTGGACCTATAATCAGGCCAAGACGCTGCGCCACTGCTTGACACATGCTGGCGGACGAGGCTCGCCGCCGGAAGCCACGGACCCCACCCCCCCTGGGCGGGCTCCACCGGGCACGGGCTGCCCGGCGCAGACGCGCTGCGGGAGCTCGCCAGGGAGGCGCAGCTCCTCGGGGGGGAGCGCGTGCTGCCCATCGTGCTGCTCCAGTTCCTCCTGCTGCATGACCTCCTTCCCTCCTCGACCTCCTCCCTTCCCTCCTCATCCTCATCGTCCTTCTCTCGCCACACTCGTCCTCCTTCTCCTCCCTGCCCCTCCTCCCTGTCGTCCTTTTCCTCCCTCCTGATGCCCCTCTTCCTCCTCCTATTTCTCATGTTCGTCCCTATCCTTCGTTTCCTCCTCATCCTTCTCCTCCTTCTCTGCCTCCTTTCTGTCTCCTTCTTCTCGTCCTCCTCCTCGTCGTCCTCCTCCTCCTTCTCATGCTTGTCCTCCATCTGAGACGCGGATGTATACCCAGACCCCCTTTCGTCGTGAACAAAATATCACAACAGAAAGACATTGCGCCTCCATCAGCCTCCATGGGAGGCTCACGGGTCCAGGGGCCGTCGAAAAACGACTCGGGACGAAAATCAGGCCCTGGTCAAAGAGGTCCAGACCTCCAGGGAACCACTGGGACCACGTTGTCAGAACGCTCATCGGAGGGAATGTGTATACACTTTGAGACGCGATCTCGCAGAATCCCAGGAGGTGGTGGACACGCGCATCTAACATGATATCTTTCACCGGCTGTGCTGCGCAGAATCTAAACTTCCCCCCAGAATCGGAAACCCTCCCCCACTCGAACGTTTCCCCTCATGCCCTGTGAACGGTACCACGCCCCCCCGTGGCGACAATGTCGCCGTCCACATCCTCAGAAAGACGGGTGAGGTGGGGGGTTCTAGCCCACCTTTGCGCGCCAGCAGACGACAACGACTGGACCACGACTGCAAAAACGACTACGGCAGCGGCGACGACGTCGACGCTGATGCTGATGACGACAGACGACATTGCGATGACAACGATAGTGGAACGTTAACACCGTCGGGCGGGCAGGGCGCGGCATAAAGAGGAAAATCGGTCGGGGGACGATAGCTGTAATCTTCGGAACAGGAAGATGGGGCAAGGTTGGTGGATAAGACACACGAGAAAATCAAAGAAAATGACCACGGTGGCGACTAAGACGGTGGGTGGGACATTAAAGCAAGTGGGCCGGACATTAGCTGGACACCTCCCGAGCTAATACCAAAAAGCTGGAGGACAAAAACTGGGACAACTATCGATCGTAGATGGGGAAAGGTTCGTCGCCGTCTTCAGTGTCGTCATCGTCCTTGTCGTCCGCGTCGACGTTGTCGTCGTGCCCGTCGCCGTGTTCTTCGTGTTCGTTCTGTCTTCCGTCGTCGTCGTCTTCCGTCTGTAGTCGTCGTTGTCGTCGTCTTCGTCGTCGTCGTCGTCGTGCTCGTCGTCGTCGTCGTCGTCGTCGGCGTGCTCGTCGTCTTCGCCGCTCGTCGGCGCGCAGAAAAAGGGGGGGAGGGGGAGAGGTGCCCCATGAACCTCCCCGACTGTCGAAGGTGGGTGGGGGCACCTCCCTTCGACACGCTTTTGGGGACGCGCCCAAAGACCCACAGAAAAATACAGTGCGGGCGCGGCCGCAAGAAACCATCGCAAGAAACAAAACCCTGAGAACCCGTGCGCGAGGTGCACCTGGGAGGAAACCCGGAGCACCCTGCACGCAGCAACTCCTTCAACGGCTGCGGGAAGTCACCGCGCAGCGCGAGGAGCGAAGAAACCTGGAATACCCTGACGACAAGCATATGGCTTCTTGATGCGCGCCCCCTCTGTAGACACGAATCCCCGGAGTCCCCATGTTGCCCAAGATTCCCCACACCAGTGCTTGCCCACAACGGGCATTTCTTAGCTCAACCATCTCCGGGTGGGTGGCGGTATCTGCGGGCGGTTCCGCCCGTCGCCACAGTCACCGTCGCCGTCGCCGCCGGGCGAGTGGCGGCTTTTGCGGCCGGTGCCGCCCGTCGCCGCCGTCGCCGCCGTTGCCGTCGCCGCCGCTCGGGGCGAGTGGCGGCTTTGCGGGCGGTGCCGCCCGTCGCCGCCGCCGCTGCCTCATAGATATTGTTTTCTCCAAAAGAATAGATTCCCCCCCCCTGGATTACCCGTTCCGGACTCCGTTTTAAAATTTATTTACAAGAACGATTCCGCCCCATCGCCAATCCTAAACATGAGTTCGCAACATCCCCGGGGGGCGGTATCCGCCCTCCGCACCAATCCCAGGGACAAAAATATCGCGGGCCATCGTTTATCAAAAATCACAAGTTTTCATGGCTGCTTTGCAGAAGCATGGGACGAAGAACGCACGCGCGCGTCGTCGCGCGCGCATGCGGAATTACTTTTAAAACCTGCGGTTTCGTAGAGATTGCAAAATCGGCTGCCCAAAACATATAAAACTAAACAAATTTCGCAACACTGTGTTTTTCAAACAACACCGGGTTGTGCGACTTGTTGTGATCTTATCCATCGCATCAAGAGTTTGCTTTGAACGCGTTCGAAAAAAAAACTACAAAACGGGCTTCGCGCGCAAGTATCCTCCGAACGCCCTTGCACGCGTGCCGTCGCACAAATCCCTGGCACTGGAAAAAAACGAACGGCACGCGCCAGCGTCATCGCGCGCGCATGTCGAAATCCAGCAAAAAGACCTTCGTTGTCGTAACGATGTCCAAACCGAGTGTCCAAGAAACATGCAAAAAAACACATGGTTCCGCAACGCCCAGTGTTCAGAAAAAACGTGCGTTAGCGCTCCTGCGTATTCTCGAGGAAACCATAGGTTGTTTTAACCTGTTCATGGGATTCTGCCCAACGGGACTCTCGCGCCGCCTGCCGACAACATTCGCACGCCCTTGCGCGCGTGCTCGGTGGGCGCGCAAAAGAATACCATGCGAACCACACTCGCGCGCCGGCCGCGCGCGCAGGTCGAACTTTTTCCAAAACCTTCATCACCGACGCGAGGACACCGTCATCGTCGCTGGCGTAATTCGCATCGGCGCCAGCACTGGCCGCGCCTTCGTCGCTGTCAACATCGTCACCAGCATCGCAACGATCCTCATCGTGCCTACCGTCGTCGACGTTGCCATGATACCGCGCCAGCCCAAGTCCCCGACTCGCAATGAAGTGCCCGCTGGGATGTGCCAGCGGTCCGCGCCACCGCGTCTTCGTCGGTCGCGCCAGAGTAGCTGGCCGCTGCGCGCGCGTGCGTGCGCGTGCCAGAGATGCGCGCGTAGTCGCGCCGCTGGCCGCTGCGCGCGCGGCAGCAGAGATGCACCAGCCAGCGCCAAGCACTCATCGCAACCGCCGCCGCATGGGTTTTGCAAACCAAGTTGCGGGCGGGTGGGTGGGATGTTTGCGCGAGCAGTGAAGTGGACAACTTCAAGTTGAGCATTGGTGGATTGCACCACGTAAATTGCACCACGTAGATTGCACCGCATAGACTGCATTACATAGTTTGCATCGCGTCAATTGCACTGTATACATTGCGTCACATAGAATGCACTGCATATCTTGCATTATATACATAGGTTGCACCGCATACATTGCCTCACGTATATTGCACCGCATACATTGTATTACATAGGTTGCATCTCGTACATTGCACCACAAAGTTTGCACCACATAGACTGCAAGGACCTGCTGTTCGCGGCCCACGCTGTTTCTAGAGTTTCGTAGTCCTTTCAGCTTCCCATGTGTTCCCGAATTCATGTTTGTCTGAGTGTGTTTCTCCTCCTGGTTTGAGGGGGGCCAGTTAAGGAGTGCTGGGGACTTTGGGGGGGCAGCACTGGTTACGAACCCCGCCCCCCTGCACGCGCCCACAGAAGACGCTGTTCTGGACATCGGAGAACCCCCTTGGGGTCCAAAGCCCGAATATATCAATATCAATGTCACTGTCTCCTGCCACCGCAGGTCCAGGAACATCGGTCGGTCCCCAACGTGGTGGACCTGCAGACACCGAGGCCTCGGATCTTCGTCCTCCGTAGGCTCGGGCGACTTCTGGCGATTCGAACGCTTACGCGGAAGATGTCCCCGATTTCCAGTGACCCTCTCGGGCGGGTGGCGCAGCATTGAATAGTTGTCACGTCCTGTCAACCTCCTGCCTTTCGAACGGGGAAGGTTGAGGGTGGTCGAGGAGAGCTCGTTTGGCCCTCCATTTAGGGGGCCACATGCGAACCCTACCCCTACCACCACGATTTCTGAGGGGGAGGGTGGGGTTCACTTCGTTCGGGAGCTCCCGAGCAAAGTGAACCCCACCCTCCCCCTCAGAAATCGTGGGGGGTAGGGGTAGGGTTCGCATGTGGCCCCCTATTTACAGTTTCCAACTCCGACGCGACGTTGTCCAAGGCACGTCTATTGCGCTGAGTTCTCGATGGGCGGGCGTTTGTAGAAAAGGGGGCGCGGGCCCTCCTCTCTCGGCCCCACGCCAATAGCCGCCACTCGCGTGCTTGCGCGAAGGAGGCGTGGAGGAGGAGGAGGAGGAGGAGGAGGAGGAGGAGGAGGAGAAGGAGGAGAAGGAGGAGGAAAAGGAGGAGGAGGAGGAGGGGGGGGAGGAGGAGGAGGAGGAGGAGGAGGAGGAGGAGGAGGAGGAGGAGGAGGAGGAGGAGGAGGAGGAGGAGGAGGGACTGCGCGACAGAACTTGACGACGATCATGCTGCCTCCATTCCTGGACCCTTCCAGCTGATGGAACACGGGCAGGGGAGACATGGCCTGGTGTCCAGCAGCTTGAAACGCTTGGGGGAGGGCGTTCAAAACCGCATCCCTAGCACAAGCCACGACCTCGTCGGGCACAGGGCCCACACTGATCCACGGGTAGGAGGCCCGTGAAAGCACGCGCCTGCTCCGCCTACGCGCCGAGCTCCCGGCGCCTTGCGAATGAATCACATCCCAAGCCACGTCTGCATCCGCGGCATCATAGAGCGCGGCGTTGGGATTGGCAGAGGGTCCTGGGAGATAACTTTCGTGGTGACCTCTTTTCATCATCGAACAAATGCCTAGAGCGCGCTTTTCACCTAACAGCGAAGACTGATAGGTTTATAGTGGTCTCCGAAGAGAGCAGCATGACTCCCCAAGGGGGTCTG